ACCTAATTATTTCCATGCCACGGATGGTAGAAGAAACTAAGCACAACTAGAGTGTCTTTCCTGTCTAAGTTCCCATCTGTTGCAGAAAGTGCTGTCTATTCAACTCTAAAAGATGCACCAATTTCAGGAGGAAAAAAAATTACCCTATTTAGCAACCCATTTCACTAGTAATTCTGGGATCACACAGTAAACAGGGCATAAATCTCAGCTCAATGGTAATTTCTTCTAGAAAGGTTTCCCAATGCAGATCATCCTCCAACTAAGGACAAGCCTGTGACAATGCTAGCATATATTTGGGCTTACTGTATACCTGTTCACCCTGTCTTTTATTAATGTAATAGTATCTTGTTCTTTACTAGGCATGTATTTAGCTCTGCATCTAATGAAATTCAACAAATACATGCCACTGACTCCACACATAGCTTACTTAGTGAATTTTCTTTGCTAAATTAATAAGACATTTGTTATTTCTCTGATGAAGTCATTTTTCACTGTAATCCTAAACACATCTAAAGAAAGAAAAAGATCTCATGAAATAAATTAAGAAACCGAGCTGAACTATATTTTACTATCTTATAAGCCTAAAAATTTTGAACGACCACTGATGCAAGGAGGGACCACATCAGCATCCCAGAATTTACCTACCAGCATACAAGACAATTCTGACCCTGCCACCGTTCTATTCTCCTGAGGTCTCATTCTTACTGAGTCATCAGGCCTGCTGCATGCCTGGCTATGGCTAACCACTTAAGAACACATCACCTAGCTATCAACAACATATCATTTTACATGTCAAAATTATTTTGAGGATTGTCTGTCTCAATGCTGCTCTCCATTACAGTATAAAATTGAGAGTCGGCCTGTATAAACTATTTGCTTAAAGCGGTTAATTATGTATTGATTCCACAAACTTTCACTTAAATGTTTCTAAATGTAATTTGAATAACAAATTGTGATTTATAAATTCAGAACAACTAAGACTTCAAACTAAGCTTGTTCATAGTAAAAAGACAAAAAATCCATTTTCCTGCAGAAGACATTTATTTAAGTTTATATACTTAAGATATACTATTAAGTTTGTATTTTATCATGGATTATAATGTTGTATATGTTAGTTACTATGCTATATCTCCTTACCAACTACAAATTAGAAATAATAAGTAGTAAAGAAAATCCTTGTTTTAGATAAATAGCCAAGCTATCAGAATAACTACAATTCTATGCTTTTATATATCTTATGATTTTAACTACCACATCAAGGCCACAAGACCTGAGTTCAAATCCTGACTCTATAGCTTGTGCCAGTAGGCAATTTATTATTTTTTTAAGATCTTAATTTAATTATGTGTAAAGGTGAGAATACCACCAACCCTATTCAGACTAGTATAAAGAAATAATAATGCAAAATGTCTAGGACAGCCAACGGAATATATTCAGTAGGTTTTCCCAAACTTTGGGACTAAAAATCCAGGTCTCCAAAATACTCAAAAGCTTTATTCACTATGCATACGGACTTGTCTAAGTCTTGTAAAATGGCATAAATATACTATACTTACTAATGTAAATTATGTAAAGGCACATAAACTGTAACTGTATTGCATCATCAACTGGTCTCTGTGAGGTTAATATGCTGTAATACAATCCATTATTTTGTCATACTAATTTTTGTTTATTTTAGAATTTTGTAGGGTTCAGAAAAAACGGGTTAAAGTGGTCCTGGATAATTTGTAGCCCTTTTAAAACAAAATAACATCTCCCAGAAAACTAAAATTGTTATTTTCTTTTTCTTTTCATGTATGTCCTTAGAGCAAGCAGAGGCATTTGAAATCAAGTACTGCTCCTTCTTCAAAACAGAGTCTAGAATATGAGAATATACTGCCAGTGAATATGTGGAACGTTTAAAGACAGACCAGTCTCCTACATCTTGCCTTCTCATTCTGTTTGCTCTCATCCACCAACATCATTAGGTGCAAGGTGAAAGGTGTGTATCAAAGGAAGAAGGAGGTGACATAACACTTTGCTTAAGTGACAATGGAGGTGTTTACAGATTGATATAAATACCAGTGCTGTAGCTTCTGTTTGTTTTCAAAGAAACCAGCTGATTATTTTGCCAGTTCTCCTTTTTCTGATTTACTTAGTGCCCATGTCGGACTCTGATATAGATCCCAAGAATGAGGAGATAATAACAGAAGTGAGTGAAGTATAGGTAGAAAGCAATGAGTTGGGAAGCATTAAAAGTAAACACTGCCTGGGTAAGATTTTCTCAATTTCACATTTGCCATTTATATCACTAAAATAACAGCATCTTTAATTTTAAGTCAACCATAGATCAATGAAAACTCAATTTTATAGTTTTTTTCTACATATTCAATGTCAGAAAAATTGTGTAGTGTTTATGACATTTTACCAGATGGACTAATAAAAAAATTTAATAGGAAGTAACAGAGGGTACAACCTAAATTTTATTTAATACATTCATACAATGATTTTACATCCGTATTTAAGTAACTGAGGAAAATCAGAGCTTATGCTATCTAGACTTAGGTACATATGTATAAATTTCCACTCTTGAGATATGAAATCTTCTTAATCCTCATAAATCACACTTAAAAAATTTAGTCATATCTATCAATCTGAGACAAATTCAAGAAAACTGTAGACTATTTAATAATTCTCTGACACTTAGATCACATTACTATATAACATTTCAAAAACATCTCATGGGATATATTTCAAGCCACCACAGATATAAGATGCCTAGCAAGTTGATATTTTTTTGGTTTTTACCCTATTTTTCATCTCAAAGGCTCATTTAATAATTACATTTAATAATTATGTGTGCTATATTTCTTATTAATCAGAAATTTTTAAATGGGGCATTTAAATCTTCCTTGCTCAGAGGATTTCAGTTTATAGTACACAGGCCCATAAAATAGTAAATGTGCCAATAAAAAGCAGGCATGGCATAATTTCAGAATGAACAGTCCTACCCAAGAAAAGATAGCTAACAATTTTATACCCACACAAATGGGGAGTCATTTCACCACATACCAATGAAAACACAGGCTAGTATCATCTGGCATTCTGGGACAATAATTCTTTCATTTTACAAATAACAAATCTGGAAATCTGAGACAATGTCTTCACCTAGATTACCAAGTTTATCGCTGGCAGGGCTAGAACTAGAATCAAAGTCTTTTTTCCACCATGCCAGGTCACCTGCTAAAGTCTAGCTAAATATTCTGCCCAAAATTGAGAACAATGCCGTCTTAGTTCATTCGTTGTTGCTATAACAAAATACCTGAGGTTGGGTAGCTCATAAAGAAAAAGAGTTTATTTAGCTCACAGGTATGCAGGCTGGGAATTTCAAGGGGCATGGCACTGTCATCTGCTCGGCTTCTGGTAAGGGCTTTCCTGCTGTGTCTTAACATGGCAGAAGATCAAAGGGGAAGCAGACGGTGCAAAGAGGTCAAACACAAAGGGCATTCTCACTTTACAACAACCTGCTCTCTTGGGAACCAAACCATTCCCACTAGAACTAATACAGTCTCCCAAGTCACTGGTATATCATTTTGGAAAAGTAATTTGGTTATCTTTATTCATTTACTTAACACATATTTACTGAATGGCCAATCTTTACCAAGTACTATTCTAGATTCTGGAAACACGACAATGAAAAAGACCGACAAGTCTTCTACCATTATATCCTAATGTGAGAAGAATATAAATAAGCAAGAATACAAGTATCATGTCAGAGAGTGACAAGGATGTTAAAAAGGAAATAAAACTGAAGGAAACAAACTAGAAGGGGTGCTATATTTTATGAGTGTCCAGGAAGCCATCTCCAAAAAATATGCAAGTTGAACACTGAGCTGAAAAAATGGCAGCCATAATGAGCTAGACAAACATTTCGGATAGGCAAAAGAACAAAAGCCCTGAGCTGGGACCAGGTCAGAACATTCAAGGAATAGAAAGAAAGCCAGTATGTGTAGAGCAGACGGAACAAATACATGACAGTGTGTACTACAGGGGCCCAGTCACATACTCTTTAACCTAGCAATACCACCTCTAGGACTCTATCCAATAGCAGTAATAGTAAGTATGTGTAAAACCATGCACAGGCTGGTGGTGAAACCCCGTCTCTACTAAAAATACAAAAATTAGCTGGACATGGTGGCAGGCGCCTGTAATCCCAGATACTCAGGAGGCTGAGGCAGGAGAATCGCTTGAATGGGCCAGGCGGAGGTTGCAGTGAGCTGAAATCACGCCATTGCACTCCAGTCTGGGTGACAGAGTGAGACTCTGTCTCAAAAAAAAAGAAGAAGAAGAAAACAAAACTACACACAGAAGAATCTTAGTGCTAGGTAGTTTGTAAAAGGAAAACAACTGGAAAAACCAAATGTTGATCAACCAGTCTGTTGATCATTTGGAGAATGTTAAATAGATTATGGTATAACATATACTATTACAGTAAAAGAGTTAGATAATATATGCACTGACCTGGAAACATGTCCTAGAGATATTATGTGAAAAAGCAAGCAGACTAATATATATGACATGATTCCATTTCTTAATGAGACTCATTAACTATGGTATTACAAATTTTAACCCCTAAGTCTGGTCCAGGATAAATACCACTTTGCTTCCCCCTGCTGCAAGCAAATGTCCTCTTGCACACTATCCTCCTACCTTTCTCTAATTCGTTCCCTGCCAGCATTTTGGCTTACCTCAACCAACTGTTTCTTTCTTTTCCTGGGGACATGAATAGCATCACGAAAATTTTAAGAGCACAGAGAAGAACATTTCCTTATAATTTCAAAACACATTAGGTTTGAAATAACTTCACAATGACTGAATCAGCTCTAATGATTTCAGAGTAGTCAGATGGCATCATAAACTTGATTTTAAAATTAAAAAAACATATTATGAGTAATTAAAGAAAACTAAATATTCAGTTGGCCACTATAATAGCAAAGATGAAAATTATGAATTATTCTTACCTCTACTTTTGTTCGATAGAGAACAAGTCGTTTAAGGCTGCATAACTTGGCAATGTGGTTGAAAGCTTGAGGTGGTAGCTTATCACAGGAGGAGAGATTTAAGGCTTGTAGATTTGGACACATCTCAGAAATAACTTCTAAGCAAGTTTCATTAAGAAAGTGGCTGCAAGACAATTCAAGGCGTACTAATTCAGATCCACAAACCTTCAGAAACCTGCAAGAACAACATTCCATGTGAATTTTATAAAACTAAAAGATATTTTTGCAAGAACTTTGCAATTTTAGCAACTCTAAGCAGATACATTTAAAAGGATAGATTTCTATTAGGGAAAATGTAAAATTTGTTTTGCTTAAATTCTTATTCACTGCATGCTGAAATATGAATGATTAGGCTAAAAAAATTAACTTGAGAGGATAAAATGAATTCACATCATATAAAAAGTCAGCTAATGCTAAGTGGAAAATTAAGAAAGTAGAAGATGTATTTTCCCTACTTACCTACAATTCACATCTGAGTTGGTAAAGCCAAAAAAAAAAAAAAAATCAAAACATAACAAAACTCTAAACTCTTGGGAGATATTTCCCCCTCAACAGTACCTATCCAGTACTGGATAATATATTTTGAACACTGCACATGAAAGTGACAACTTTAATTAAGTAACCTCAAAACAAATCAGACTAGGCTCCTCTCAACTCAGAAAATGTCTATGTGGGTTTAACTAGAGCACTGTTATGGTCCTTGCAGCTGTTACTCTTTAGCAGCTAGACTGCTTGATGTTGAAAATATTCAATTGCAGCTTCACATAAAATACATAGAAATAATCCAAGATGAAGGTCACAAAATGCTTTATCAGAGTAATTATCACAATATTTATCTCAGTTATATTATATCTGGGGGAAAAACAGTCCTGTCCATGATCATCCCCTGAAAACAATTTAAAAGTAAACATGAATCTAGGAGTATTTGAATCCATGAAACTTTATCAACTAAGCAAACTGAACCCTCTTAACAGTGCACCAATTATGACTGTCCAGGTCTCTTGACATAATCTTCCCACCAGTGTCACATCAGTAATATACTGTTAGTCAATTTATGCCATGTCTTTATTCCTAAATGATTTAATGAGCTTATAAGTATACATACAAAATAAAATTGACTAAATCAGATTAGTTGTGTAAATAAATCAAGTAACACTGGTTAAAAGATATGGTTTTTTGCATTGTTCTACTAGTTCCTAGCAAAGACCTTGGAAAAGGCATTTACCCAAATCTTAGCATTTCCTCAGCTGTAAATGCAGACTTGAAGTATGTAACAACATTCACCACACTGCCTAGTGGAATTGAAGCTGGAATACTATGCAAATGCAGTTTTTAAAGGTCAAAGCACCCCATAAACATTAAGTATAAGTTAAATCTTGGCCAATTCACATTTAAACAATAAAAAAATTCAGTTGCTGCAAATTTAAATATTGCAAATAACCCAGTAGCCCGCACATCTTATTTACACCTGAACACCCGTTTATTCTAAATTCAAACTTGTATTATTTAATTTGTGACATTTCATACAACTGCACACTCCTTCCTTAAAACTCTTGACACTCCTCACGTTAACTGCCTCTTTTGGATCTCCTCCAACTCCTCTCACTGCTGCTTCCTTTGCTAGTTGTATTAGCTAAACTGCAGTTCGCATGAAGCACATTCATTCATTCATTCATTCAACAAATATGCACTGAGCTTCTACTATCATCCAGGTAACAGTCTAGGCACTGGGGAGATAACAGTGGACAAAACAAAATCCCTGCTCTCATGAAGCTTACTAATGTTTTGAAGAGAGAAGGAGAAGATAACCAAATGCATAAAGTAGGTCGCAAATTCGTGAAAAGTGCCCAGGAGAAAATAAAAGCAGGGAAGCGCAACAGAAAGTGTCAAGGATGGACAGAGTAGTCAGAAAAGCTTCAGAGATGTGAAAAGCTTCAGAGTAAAACCCTGAAGGAAGCAAGAGGGTGACAAAGCAGGTATCTGGAGGAGGAGCATTCTAGGCAAAGGGAAGGGCAGTCCAGGGCAGGATAACAAGCAGAGTGAAGAACAGTGAGATGGGGGATACAGGAGGCACAAAATGATGGAGAGATGAGTAGATCAGAGATGAGGGACCGTTCACACAGTGTGTGTCACTATAAAGACTCTGGCTTTATACCAGAAAGCAAACTGTTAGCAGACAATAGGAAACTTCCCAAGTTGATTTCATGAATGATAGAATTTGAAAGCACAATGAGATAAAGTCTATACCTATACTACCTTTCTTTCTCTTTATCAAGAATCCTGTATTGCATATTTTTACTCTGAGCAGATTATTTGATTAATACCCTCATATTATCTCTACTTAAATTTTCAAAATGTATACTACCTACCTTTTCATATCTACATCCCAAGAGGGCAGAGACAGTAACAGACTCAATTAGCTGCACACAGCTCTTACTTCTTTCCTTAATGTTCCTCATGCAGGTTTTATTTTAATGCATAATTACATATATGTATTTATTCATCTCAACTGTGCCACTGATCATTTGAAAGGAGAACTCAGCTTGTTTATTGCCTGCAGTCAGTTCATTCTACATTGTGCTCATGAAGTATTTTCTTATACTGAAGATTTTATGAGAGGACCTAAGTTCATATAAACAATCCCAGACTAGTCTCCTGCTATGAGAAAAGGAATCTCTGGAGAGAAAAATAAATTGCTTATCATTATGAGGTGAATTAATTTGTCCAGAATAATACAAGTACATAAGAAGTAATTTACTAAATGGTAACTTGCACCCTAAAATAATTAAGATCACATGAATGAACGATTTGAGTCTACTTATCACAAAATAAAAGGTAATAGTCCTCAGAAATTGCCTGAAGTATAAAAAGAGAAGAATTAGATATAAAATATCTATGACTTCTGAATTCCTAATCTCATGGTTTTTAGCTGACCCTCACTAAGTTTTCTAAAACAGTAAATTCAAGATAATCTTAATCCCAAATAACTTGGAACATTATTTAACATAGCTGATCCAAAATAAAGCCATTAAAAACAAAACTTCTACTTAACTGTATAGGGGTAGTATCCAACAATGATAGAAAGAAGGGAAGACTGGGCGCGGTGGCTCACGCCTATAATCCCAGCACTTTGGGAGGCCGAGACGGGCAGATCATGAGGTCAGGAGATCGAGACCATCCTGGCTAACACGGTGAAACCCTGTCTCTACTAAAAATACAAAAAAATTAGACAAACACAGCGGCGGGCGCCTGTAATCCCAGCTACACAGGAGGCTGAGGCAGGAGAATGGCGTGAACCCAGGAAGCGGAGCTTGCAGCGAGTGGAGATCGTGCCACTGCATTCCAGCCTGGGCGACAGGGTCAGACTCCGTCTCAAAAAAAAAAAAAAAAAAGAAAGAAGGGAAAAGAACATCTTAAAATGGTCCCTACTTTCTAGAGTTGACAATCTAAGACACAACTGTATAAAATATAGGCAGGCAACTGAATAAATATATTAGTGGAAAATAAGCTTTTCATACCATAAAACTTTAGCTCTATGTCAAAATACCTAATAAAGTTCTCAAATCTAGAAAGCATCCAAGAATGTTTCCTAAAGGAGTGAATATAAACTACTGAGAACAAGTAAGAGGGGTTTAGGGTAAAAACCCACACATAACTGAGGGGGAGACAAGGCTGTTCAGCAACTATTTGAAGAAAAATGGTAGGGAACAAATGAACCTAAGGCTTTTTGAACAGAATGATACAATTAAGTTCTAAAGCACAAACAGGCAGGCAGGCAAAGGAACATCTAAGACTTCAGGGAACCATATTAGAAAAGCGGAATTATAATAGATATGATTTTAATGAGTAATGATATGCATGAACAGTACTCAAAGTAGCAAATCACAAATCTGTAGCTAGATTAAGATTTTAATAACTGATTAAAAGTTTTAAGTTCTCTTTATTCCAATGTAACCTATTTCTCTGCTATGATGAATAACAAAAATTCCTAAAAAGTTATTGAAAATCCAGTTAAACAGTTCTGACTTGTGAGATAAGGTTTTTAAGCAACAAAAATAAACTGCATCAAACTTTTTCCCAAAGATTTGTTCAAAAAACAGCTCATCAACATTGGTCTCTAGTTTTTAAATGTGCTTTTCTTCTTTAAAATATTACAAATAAGTCTTCTTCATAGTAATGAGCATAAATAGACCATACTTATTCATAGATTACTCATTAATAATCAAGCCATGCATATTTATTGTTTATTCTGGGAATGCTGCCTACAAGCCATAGTAACTATCAATTCAGCAGTCAAGTCATGGGGGCCAACAGTAATCAGTAGGGAAAACTCCAACACGCCCCGCCCAAGAAAAGGTTCTCTCTCCCTCTTGCTTCAACTTTTTCTTTTCTTAATGGGAATAGTGACTACACTTAAAGGAATGCCATCAAGATTTATGATTTTACTGGCTGAAATACTACAGTAAAATATAAGAACTTAAATCTATATATGGCTTGTTCTGATTATTCAAACTGCTCTACAGCAACTACCCTGGATGAATTGAAAATGGACGATAAATTGTGGGTTAGAAGTAGATAGAAACTCTAACTTTGCAAAAGATCTTTATCCATTACTAGTATAAAAATTTTTTTAATGGCATGGCTAAGTTTTCTTCTTATAAGTGATGTTTCTTCTCATGTGCTAGAAGAAGCTACATAAAGAAACAAAAATTGATTAATATTAGCTTTATATTTTACTCATTATCACAGTCATATGCAGCACTTTGCCAGTGAAGCTGGACTTCAGCCATTCATGACCAATGTTTTCTTTAACGTCTACACTTAGTTACTACCCAGTTATTCTGTTTATAAAAATAAATAAGGGATATGCTTATATGCTTATCTTAATATCTTTATCTTCTCTGTAGCCTGAAGGCAGGAACTATATTATATATCTCATATGTCTCTGCATACGGTCAACACCCACTGAAACTCCTTGCACACAAAGGGTGAAAACAAACATTTAATAAATTCTTAATAATGGAAAACATTGGGAAAGAGCTATGAGGGTGATTAAAATGCCCCAAAGGTCTATATAATGTAAAATAATGCTTACTGACGCCACTTGTTCTATCTGTTCTCATATTCAGTTAGTCTTGGTTTATGATAATGTATGCTCTAAATATTCATAGTCTTCATTAGCTTCAGTTCTTTCTTAGTCCTATTAGCAGAGAAAAGAATTTGAAATGTGTGTGTTTGGTGCAAGGGGAAGTAGAAAGGACTAAACTCTGTTTCACTGGACAGCTGCCAAATATCTAGCAATGAACCCCTTCCCCTGGCTCAATTTCTGGCAGAAAAGAAACTCAGCGCATCCACGGTTTCAACACTTGCTACTGGCCATTACTGCTTGGTTTATTTTTCACTCTGATGCATAAACTATCAAGGTCAGTATTTGGAACACATTGTTACTATTTCAGACATCATTACTTCATTTAAATCTAACAATATCAAATCTTTATTTCTGGAACTGCATCTTTATTTTTACAATCTGAGTTAAGAGGAAACAAGGCTCTACATACGAATTTCTAATTCATAAACCAGTGTTCTAGAATGTATTCACTGGGGATATGTGTAAGGATTGCTATAGTTCATTTTTCGTCTTTAAAAATAGAATACAAGAGTATTCATTAATTAAAAATAACAGAAAATTTCTCTAAAGTTTCTACTCCTTCATTATTTAACTTCATGAAAATGCTGGGATTATATGTAACATACCATGAGAAAAACCATGATCAAGGTTAGGAGAAAAACTCCTGTTTGTATCCTAAGAAAAATGACTGTGGCATTACTAAATGAACATGCACTTGTGCAAGCTTTCAAATGCTTAACAGGTGACATTTAATAGTAAGGAAACGAAATGCTTAAATAGAAAGGAGCAGAAACACCTGGGCAGGTCTGCAAGTGTGGTCGCCTATTTAGCATGCAATTGCATTTTCAACATAATTAGTTTAAATGAGCTTCTAAATCTGGGTGATGTATTGCACATGTAATTAAGATTTAATTAAAAATGTTCTATAATAAATTGTTTTCCATTTCTGACAAATCACATTAGAGAGGTAGATTTTGATTTGGAAATAGTTTTTAAAATGTGTTAATCATCTGTGCTGAAAATATGAGAAAGACGAAACAGGAGCCCTGAAGTAAAGGGTATAGTTTCCCTTCATATTCATATAAAATTTAGCTGAAGAGGATAGTAAAACACTCATTTTTTATAAGCAGCAGCATTCTAAACATGACACTCAAAATTTATTTCCTTTTTATTTTTGTAAGGTACATGTTACATAATTTCAAACTTTTATTATGAAAACCACTACATAAGTATAGCCTGCTGCTGGGGAAAAAAACAAAAAACAAAAAAAACTTCATCAAGCCTTTGTACTAACCTGCTAAATCCTGCAACAGAGATGAAGCCTCTATTGCCAGTCCAAGATAAATTAAGCCACTGGACAAGAGTGCATCGAGACTGTAGAAATTCCAAAGAGGTGTCATCTAGTTTTGCCCAGTATGGTTGCAGATTGAGATGGATGTATTGTAGAGGATCACAGCAATGCTGGCTCAGTAGTTTGCAAGTCTGTGCTAATCTACACAGGTCTGGTAGTGTAAGATGATTCAGAATCAGTTGAATAAGCTAAATAAGACAGAGAAACCAAGATCATCAAGAATGAAAAGCAGTATCATTTTATGAAACATATAACATGATCTAATAAGGAATAAAATGTCATACATTTTATAACAATATTTTCATATAGTAAATAAAAACATTCAACGGAATTATCCAAAGAGAAGAAATCATGCATGCATTTGACTATAGTACATTTCGAGACTGTTCAAAGTATACTCAGCACATATTGCCTACTCATTTTCTTAGGTGCAAAGATACATTTTGGTAATCTATTGAATAATACAATTTGTCATACTCAACATCACTGAACAGCTACTACGTACCAGACACTGGGGACAGAAAAGAAAGAGTGCCCATTCTCAGAGTGCTTACAGTCCAGTGGGGATTGGTAAGGACAATGATACATTTTAATAGCTTTGACAAAAAGAAACACAGAATGCTACTAAAGCCTAGCAGGCCTAGCTCCAAAGTGAAAGTGTACCTGTGCCAGGAACACTCAGCTTTTTTTTTTTAATGTATATATACTGTTAAGTTCTGGGGTACATGTACAGAATGTGCAGGTTTGTTACATAGGTATACACGTGCCACGGTGGTTTGCTGCACCCATCAACCCATCACCTACAGTAGGTATTTCTCCTAATGTTATCCCTCCCCTAGCCCCCTACCCCCTAACAGGCCCCAGTGTGTGATGTTCCCCTCCCTGTGTCCAGGTGTTCTCATTGTTCACCTCCCACTTATGAGTGAGAACATGCAGTGCTTGGTTTTCTGTTCCTGTGTTAGTTTGCTGAGAATGATGGTTTCCAGCTTCATCCATGTCACTGCAAAGGACATGAACTCATCCTTCTTTATGGCTGCATAGTATTCCATGGTGTATATGTGCCACATTTTCTTTATCCAGTCTATCAATGATGGACATTTGGGTTGGTTCCAAGTCTTTGCTATTGTGAACAGTGCTGCAATAAATATACGTGTGTATGTGTCCTTATAGTAGAATGATTCATAATCCTTGGGGTATATACCCAGTAATGGTATTTCTAGTTCTAGATCCTTGAGAAATTGCCACACTGTCTTCCACAATGGTTGACTAATTTACATTCCCACCAACAGTGTAAAGGCGTTCCTATTTCTCCACATCCTCTCCAGCATCTGTTGTTTCCTGACCTTTTAATGATCACCATTCTAACTAGCATGAGATGGTATCTCATTGTGATTTTGATTTACATTTCTCTAATGACCAGTGATGATTAACATTTTTTCTTATGTTTGTTGGCTGCATAAATGTCTTCTTTTGAGCAGTGTCTGTTCATATTCCTTGCCCACTTTTCGATGGGGTTGTTTTTCTCTTGAAATTTGTTTAACTTCTTGTAGATTCTAGATATTAGCCCTTTGTCAGATGGATAGATTGCAAAAATTTTCTCCCATTCTGTAGGTTGCCTGATCACTCTGATGACAGTTTCTTATGCTGGAACATTCAGCTTTAACAAGTCAGGGGCAAACCAGGTGAAAAGAGAGTCTAGTGGTAAAGACTGTGTTATGAAAGCCTCACAGAGGAGCTTGGGTTTATCCTGAAAGCAATGAGTCGTCCTGAAGGGTTTTAAACTAGAGTGACATGTTCACATTTGTGTTTCAGAAAGAACATTGCGGGGGTGCTACTGGAAGCAAGGAGGCAGGAAGAGAAACCAGCCATGGGGCTAATACAGAATTCTAGGAAATAGGAAATAAGGGGTCTGCTTAAGGTAGCTGGCAGTGATGATGGAGTAGCAAACAGATACAAGAATTATTAAGAAGGCAGAATTCAAAACATTGCTTTCTCTAATTAAAATTACCTTATCGAATTACTGCAAGATTTATTTTTTCTTAACAGTTGGGGGCTTCTAGTTTCAAAGAACTACTGCTTAAATAGCCTATTCTGAACTAAAAACTATAAAGAAAAAGACACTAAATATTTGCTAAATGTTAAACAACTTATTTAGATGAGAGAGGGGTTTTTTTTAATTTAATGTATTTATCTAGCTAAATTTTTTGTTTTGCAATTAACCTAAATGCTCTTCTTCAATTTATTTTGTTATCTAGGCTCAGTATTAATTTCAGGTCAGAATTTCACTGTTTTAAGTCAAAATATCACAAAACACAGAGTAACAACAATAGGATCTTTAAAATAAGTTTAAAGAGGATGTAGCCAGAATCTCCTTACTCCTGATGTTTCTTAGTAATTTTCTACCCAGTGACTCTCCAACCTGCTCCCTGGCTATTAATTCCCACTTGCCCATGCTGTTGAACCCAATCTCCCTCTCACACTGCAAAATCCCACTGTAGTGGTCCCTATACCTAGCACGATTGAGTAATTTTTCTTTAACAAATCTCATCATCCAGACACACCTGTTGATGTATAAAATATTACACGAACAAAAATCAACAATTTCAAGTAAAAAGTAAACCCAAACATTGAAGAAAGGTCTAAAATGAGAAGTTTCTGCCTCTCTACACTCAGTTCTAACCATCCCTCTCCCCAAAGATAAGCATTGTTAAGTTTTTCTGATCTCTTCCAAATAAATGTATATGAAATTGTGTTCTTGAATTTGCACTAAAACAATGATACTATATACACCATTCTGCAACTTGCTTTTCTCATTTAATGATATATCTTGTAGATCTTTCCATATCTGCACATACAGACCCACCTCCTTCCACTTCATAGAAGTGACATAATTCAACTAGTTTCTCATTGATGCATTTCCTGCTTTTTTTCCTATTGCATATAATACTGCAATATCATTGTGTGTATGTATTACGCATGTATGTTCATCTTGGCAAACTTTGAAAATATATCCTTATAGTAAATTACATGCATTTAAAAGTTTTGATGGAAGTGGAAAATTGCCATTCAGAATGTTCACATCAATTTATATATCCACAAAAATTGTATGAAAGTACCCTTTTGTGGCCGGGAGCAGTGGCTCACGCCTGTAATCCCAGCACTTTGGGAGGCCGAGATGGGCAGATCACGAGGTCAGGAGATCAAAACCATCCTGGCTAACACGGTGAAACCCCATCTCTACTAAAAATACAAAAAAAATTAACCAGGCATGGTGGCAGGTGCCTTTGGTCCCAGCTACACAGGAGGCTGAGGCAGGAGAATGGCGTGAACCCAGGAGTTGGAGTTTGCAGTGAGCCAAGATTGCGCCACTGCACTCCAGCCTGGGTGACAGAGCAAGACTCTGTCTCAAAAAAAAAAAAAAAAAAAAAAAAGTACCCTTTTGCTTCTATCCTAGACAACACTGGTATCAAAACTTTTTTATTCCAAAAGGCAAAAAAGGAAGAAAAGATAAAAAACTGTTTTTATTTCTGTTTCTTTTTTTTTAACGACATAAATATAACAGCTTCCCAGAGGAGTTGTCAATACATTTCCCGCTATCCTCTTGGCCTGTTCCTGGACTCTATTCTGTTCCATTTATCTATATGTTATTTCTCCCATATCAATAGTCCTCCAAGTAAAATAACTAGGTTTTTTAAAGTTTATGTGTTGGAATGTCGTGGATTGTTTGGCTGCAAATGAGAATCAGGACTAATACCCCCCTATCACTCTTTTCCAGAATTTGCCTGAGTATTTTCATATTTTTAGGCAAACTTTTCAATTTAAAAAAATTCTGCTAGCATTTTAATTGGGACTTCATTGAATACACTAAGGAAAACTGATATTTTTACTTTATTATATTTTTCTACTCTAGGGCATGTTCTAATTTTTTAGCAAAAGTAAATTATCTGTAAAGTCTAAAGTATCTGTGACTCCCCTTGACTAATTTGGCTGTATACTGGACCACCCTGAAGACCACTGGCTGAAAGGATAAAATGCAAATCTCTTTTTTTTTTTTTTTTTTTAATTTATTTATTATTATTATA